CAGGAGACTCCCGGGCCGCCAGGGAGAGTTAGCTGTTTGGAGATCAGTGTCCCTGGTTAGCAGGTAACCAGGGACGCTGATCTCTCTGAAAGTGGCCGGAGCCAGCCGTAAGATCACGGCCAGATCCTTCGGAGGCTTCGTGAATAGACCCCTAAATACCCCATGAAAACTGTAGGCCAACCCAGGATAACCACTCCCACTACCAGTATGCCTCAGTGTTGTAGCAAAGCAGTACCGGGACTATTATCATAAACATAGAGCGGTTTATGATTTTAGATTTTACAATGAGCAATGCAATCCTATTTTATTTCTCATCCATTGAGGGACACATGAAGGCTTTGACCTTTTGGACATCAAAAAAACAGTCCAGCTGAGGGTTGGGAAACACAGCAAACAATCACTAACAGGCCCAAGAAACAACAGATGACTGGGGACTGCCTGCAGCTCAAAGAGCCACTCGAGGGACCTTTGGCCACACATCCGATGAAGCTGAATCACCCATCTGGTAGAATTTATAGAACATGTGAACAGAGGACCAGGTGGCAGCCATGCACATTCAGGAAACAGTTTCTTACAAAGCAGAGCTGTGTAAAACACATCCATCCTGCTACGACACACACAAAAAACTGAAGCATGCGGGAGGTGCATTGCATTGCCATTCTTTGAATGGCACGCCAAACACACCTCCCACCCACAGTTTGATCACTTGCACCAGAATATGCGGTACCGCAATGCCGTGCATTCCAGTGTGGTGCAACTTGGTTCATGACTTAATGACCAAGGACAAATGTTGGTCTTGAGGCTATAAAGGTGGAGAACCACTGATTTAGAGTATAGTGCAAAAAAATCTAAAAATATATTTACTAAGGTTTAGAGTGTGAATGGCTGCAAAAAAAATGCCCAATTAACCTAAATCTGTATGACATGCTCACAAAATAACAGAAAAATAGTCGGTTACCACAGTAGCACAGTCAACTAAGTTACACCAATTCAGTTTTCTTTTCTATGTTCACATTTATAGGTTTATTTTAACATTACATTTAAGAAATTCACACACTTTTGTTAGTTTATTTGTTTAGTTTTATATGCTAAGTGCCAGGAAGAGACAGACACAAAACTTCAGGAGGAATAGGGCCACAAAAAACATAAAAAGCCAGGTATATGCAAAATGCTGGCCACAAGCCACTGAAGATTGGAAGTTGTCTTGCCCAGCCAGTGATGGCACAGTGGAAACATGCAAACCGCATCTTAACGTCGGGATCTTCATGACAGATTAAAATGCTTACATGACCATCTTTTACAGTGACACCCAGGGGGAAAATTAGACAATCTTGTTAGACATAGCTTGGTGATCTTGCTGTATTTCTTAATGTCATATATTATTCTTTGTGAATTATGTTGTTAATAATATTACTATTTTTTGTTTTATTGTGGGTGTTAGGCAGTTATAAACAGGGGTGTGGCTTAGGGTGTAATATGTATCGATATGGGGTCTGATGCTCCAAGTTTTCTATGCCTATAGGCTCCCAAGACACAAATCTGGGCCAGCAAACCTCTGCTTATTTTTCATCACAAATTACATTTTTCTGGTTGTGTCTTAGTTGTGTGTTTGTGCATTTCTGTATACAGTATGCCCAAATAGCTAGGAATTTAGATAGTTTAGCATCATGGACCACACTTATCAAGGTGCTTTCCATTATGCAGCAGTACAAACGCAAAACATTCCCAGCACACTTACCAGCTAGGTCACAAAAAGAAAACAGATTACATGGTCTAACTATTGGCGTTAAAAGCAGATGTTCTCATAAAGGTTCTCTGTGGTCCTAACTCTAATCTATGAGCCTCCATCTTGGTGATAGCGCTAGGTCTTACTTTCGGGGTAGGTCTTACTTTCGGGGAAACACGGTAGCAAAGGATGAGTTGCACACCAGAAGCCTAGAACATCACAATGGCAACTGAAGCCCCCAGTGTGTCCCCCACACCAAATCCAACAAGTGAAACAAATGGCAAACACACTCATCAATTCATTACTAGCTTTTAAAGTAAGCTGCACATAGAAGGGCTTTACACAGTACAAAAACAAAAGTTCCCCAGCACACTCATCAGCCAGCCTGCAAACAGATTATATTGTCTAACAATTAGCGTTAAAAACAGAAGTTTTAGTTGCACAACTTTTGCAAAATAAATGCAAGCCACACTTCCTCGTCAAGGCCCCTATGTGTAGTGTGGTCCTAACTCTAATCTATGAGAGCCTCCATCTTGGAGCTTATATAGCAAAGGATAAATTGGGTGCAGGTTTCCCAGGAGGCATCTTATTCCTTCTTAAAGGCACAGGGACACACCAGTAGCCCAGCACATCACAAAGGCACCTGAAGCCTCCAGTGTGTCCCCAAACCAAATCAAACAAGTGAAGAAAATGACAACAGCACTCATCAATTTAAAACTAGCTTTAAGTGTAAGGTTTACATGGAAGGGCTTTACACAGTACAAACACAAAAAAATCCCAGAAGCCATGTGCAACTTACTTTAAAGGCCGGTAATAAATTGATGAGTGCATTAACTATTTGCTTCACTTTTTGTATTTGGTGTGGGGACACAATGGGGTCTTCAGCTGCCATTGAGATGTGCTGGGCTTCTGGTGTGTCCCTGTGCCTTTAAGGAGAAATGGGTCACCTCCAGGCGAATCTGCACTCAATTTGCCCTTTGCTACATATGCTCCAAGATGGAGGCTCTCATAGATTAGAATTAGGACCACACTACATAGAGGGACATTGACAAAGCAGCGTGGCTTCCAAATGTTTTGCAAAAGTTTTGCAACTGAAAACAGTGTTTTTGCAGGCTGGCTGGTGAGTGTGCTGGGTGTTTATTTATGTTTGTACTGTGTAAGCACAGTATTGTTGTATTTTTTAGTAAATGGGATGCATACTGCTGAGGTGAATGCACAGTCCATTGAAGCTCATGTTTACCTGCAGTCTCAGCTGCCTGCAGCAGCACATCTATGTACTAGAACAAGGACTGCAATCACTGTTTCCTGATGTGGATCATTATTTATCCCTAACTGCTGCATGAAACAGGTAATTTAATTTTTCTTTACCTATCACTTCATTGGCCCTCTCACTGCTACATCCAGTGTATTCCATGGAATGAGTGAAATCAGTCTATGGACTGCTACTGCTATACAGTAAACATTACAATGTGTTAAAGCCAGAATGTTTACTTAGTTGACCTAAAAGCCCAACCCTACCCCTCTAGAGTTCCCTCCTTAAGCCTTTTACTTTTTTATACTCACCATTTTCCAAAGTTTTTTTTATACCAGTCACGTAATGCACAGAACCCTCTTATTCTTCTAAACTTCTCCCAGCGATGGGCAGTTCTGAATGATGCATATAATGGCTCTAACAAGTGCTGCTCTCTCTTTTTTTATACTGTGAATAAGGGGCCCCATGGCAACGCCCCCTCATGGGGTAGGTCCAAGACATCCTGCACTCAAAGTATGTCTTTAGTCTTACAGGTTAAGTGACATTGACTGGTACCATTACCCAGAAGACTGATGCTATCTTGTGGAAAAAGTAGTACTGTAGGGGACAGCTTCTGATGGAAGGTGAGTAATGCAGCAAAGGATAGTAGTAGATAGTCACATTCAAATGAACTTGTTCTGTAGCTTTCCCAAGTTACTTCTTCAGTTCTAATGAGTGCCAGGAAAATTCCCAAGCATTTATATCCACACCGGTAGTACAACCACCCTAATCCAATCACCATGGAAAGGTAGATTTTAATGTTCAAGAACAGGATTGGAGTTGTGAAAGTTCTATTACATAATTCCATCCTTTGTGTCAGGAAGGCTCTATAGGCACTAATTAGAACTGAAGAAGTGGTTTTGATGAGCTAAGAAACATCTTCAACATTGCAGAGCAAATCCAGTTCAATGTAACTACTACTCGCTATAGCATGACCTGGATACATGAGAACCAACCTAGAGTTAGACTTTAATCTGACAACCCTGTAATACACTGTAGCCAGATTTCACAGAGCTCCTCACATGTGGGCTGGGTGGATGCACGTGGTGAAGCCTGTGCTGTGTACATTTTATTCTTTCTGCTTAATGTGTCACTAGTCGAGAACAAACTTCTAAGATAGTATAGAACTCACTAGTGGCTGTAAGAAAGCTTACACATAGGTTCGTTTGGGAATTTCCCCTACGTTACACACCGGCTTAGGGGTTTTCACATCACCATATTACTGAGACATTACACACAGGCTTAGAGGTTCTCACATCACTATATTACTGAGAAAGGGAAGTAGGGAGAACTGGTGAAGCTCTACTGAAGCCACAAGCGGCATTTCTTCCTTCAATGGGCTATACTTGGATATCTAAACAGCTATAGTAATAGACACTACAGATCAATTGCTGCTGAAACCAGAATGCTCCCTAAACTGAAAAAAATCATATTGGGCATTACATTAGAAGCACTAGGATCTGATTAATGGTACATACGCCAACATGATTAATATAGCCCCCAATTGGCATTTGGTATCTCTACTAAGTTGAAATAATTGTTGCCTGTACTGGTCTTTAGCCATTAAAAGAGACCATAGAAAGCGTCTGTTTGATTCTCGATTTCATACTGTGCCATACAATCAATTCTTTTTAGTCAGACTGTCTCTAGATTTACTCGCGAGCCACAGTAAAATGAGGAAGCTTTCATTAATCTTTCAGATGCTTCGTATTAATGACAAGGCTCTTGCATGAACAATGTAACAGCAATTAAAAAGCCCATTAATCTGCATTACAGCTATTAAAGATGCATGTCATTAAAGGGTATGGAGTTTGATTCATTCTAGCACCCCCCAAAAAAATGAAGCAATTACACTCTGGCAATGCACTTTGTCATCAAATTAGGTTCTTGGTTTTGCTGCAAATGGCTCGGCAGTGTTCAGATCCCTCTGTTTTATTATTCATGACTAAGATGGGGAAGTCAAGACCTCTGGAATTGCTTTACCTTCTTCCCGAGTGGTGACGTTCACAACATGGGAGATCACGCTGCAGCCAGCTAAAGTGCATGCGGATAATGTTACTGCGTACTTTGTAAAGGGCAGCAAGCCTGTCAGGGTGCCTGTAAAGAAAGAAGAGCAATGAGATTAGGCCAGTGAACAGAATTTCTTAAGAGCATACATCTACCTGGTTGAGCCTGAAAGCCACTGGTGTCCATGATCGGGCATCAATTATGGGACCACAAACCACTTTTGTTGTGCTTCTACCTATGACTTAAGATGTATAGCCTTACCCTTAACTGTATAAGTGTAGAATGACTAAATGACGTAGCCCGAGATCAACACAGTTGAAGTCCACAGTATATTAATGGTCCATAATTTATACATTTAGTCCAGAATCTGATTGTTCCAAAGAGCCACCACCACCACCTTACAAGATAAATGGACAGGTACTTGCCAGATTGAATGAAGCTCTCTATATAAAAGGTCAGTAACATATACACAACAGTTTCAGAAAGAATATCCGTGCTTTAGATATTCATATAATATCTAAGATATACAAAGAAGATGATTACCCAGAATAAGAAGGAAGAAAAACTGCAATAGTGTAGTATGAGTGACAACAGAGAGTGGTGACATCACTGACAAAGTTTCTGGCTGATCAGTGTGAGACTGTGACAGCAATTTTTTTGTTTGATTGACTACACTGTTTATGGTTTGTAGAAAAAAATTATACTGTACTATTAGACCTATACCTTAGTATAAATCACCCTTTTTTGACACTTCTGCACCAGTATGCTAATTTAGAGCAAAATATGATGCTAAACTACTATCCTTCCTTCTTCTGGTGTTGGTTGAGTGACCAAATGTTAATTGGTTCCATCCAATGTGAAGGATCAATGACTAGACACAGCCAGTGACCAGTTGATTGTACCTAAATATCAGCCCCCCATTTGGTTGGGATCATGTAACCGATGCTTAGGCATTTCGTCACAGGGCTACCATCATGGAACAACAACTTCTTCAGAAAAGAGGTCGGGAAAAGAGTTTCATTATGGCATAGGTCTGACATTAATGCATAGGTCTGACATTTCTCTCTCTGAAGACTTATGCAAAAAAAAAAAAACCCAACATGAGTAAATGATGAAACAATTTTTCCCTTACCTCTAAAGCACAAGAGGTGCTGATGTAATTGCTGGCATGGAGTGATGATGGCATCATTTTACTCATAGAAAGAAGCCAATAGGTGGTTCAGCCCACCAGCCTCCCTCTATAAGATATAAGATATAATTCTGATCTCTTTCTGACCGGAATGAGAAATGCTAAGCTGCATCAACCTGCTTCAAGCTGCTTTCTTCATTGCCTTTGACTTGCATGGGGAGAAAAGCAATTCTTATATAAAGGAATATGTAATTTGTGTGTGTGGTGCTGGCAAGTTTAACCACCTGCTACCATCTTATATATTTTGGCCATTCCATCATTGATTCCTCTGTACCTGAGTCTGCAGATCTGCATGCCCAATATGGTCATTAAAAAAGAGCCTATAGCTCTATGTTGGATTGTTGGTTTGTTTTACCTTCCAGAGAAAGGCAGCAGAAACAGATTTTGGCTTCAAATGCATCAGGAAGAGTAAGGCTCGCAAGATGGGCAGAGGCAGAGATAGGCACACACATAAAGACAATTTGCTGTTGGCATTGTAGAATGATATAAGAAGCAAATGGGTGGTTCAAACCACCAGGCTCCCTCCATAATCAATATATAATTTTTGTGCAGGCAAAAGCAGGCCATACACCTATAGATTATCTGCAGATTTTCTATGGTCAGATGGAAAAAGTGCAACAGATTCCTCCAAATACGCTAAACTGTGTGGATGAAGAAATCTCCCACTGGGCCAAGCTTCAGTATCCTCCTAGTCAGCCCCGCTGACTCTCAAAATCGCTGAACAATCAGATTGGATGCAGGCTTTGTTCAGGTATTTTGAGAGCCAGCGGGGCTGACTAGCAAGATACTGAAGCTTGGCCTAGCGGGAGATTCCTCCATCCACACAGTTTAGCGTAGATGGTGGAATCTGTTGCACTTTTTCCACCTGACCATCGAAAATCTGCAGATAATCTATAGGTGTATGGCTGGCTTAAGCCTTTTAAAATAAGGGGGCGTTCTTAAACTCACTAACACATATGAATATCATGCATGTAAACATAAATATTTATGATTTTCCATACAGACTCTATCCTTTCCCTATAGGCTAAACCCTTTTGTCCCCAGGAGTATTAGGGCCTATGCTAACAGGTATTGGCTTGTGTCAATAGACAAATGCAGGTTGCATTTAGGAAACATTCTGCTTGCATTTAACATCAGTTTTGGTGGTGCTGAGACCATTTAGAGTTTATTGACATCCTTCTGAGTTGCATGTGAAGTACTGCTAAGCTGCATTAACCTGCTTCAAGCTGCTTTTTCAATGCTTTTGACTTGTGTGGGAAGAGGAGCAGATCTCATGTGAACGAAACCCCATTAGCACAGACCTTTACAATATTATCTTGCAGATACAAATTAGTGTCTTATACATGTAAAGCTACCATTGATCTGTAAGCTTCTGCCCCAAACTGCTCTTCAGTTTTACTTTTAGGCTGGGATCACACCTGGGCGTATTTTTTCTGCTAATTTTTCAGCTAGTTTTTTAGCAAGTTTTTCCGTTCAGTGAAACGCGAGTTTCACTGGCGGTATGATTTGTTTTTTGTTTTTTTTCCCTAATTTTCTCTATTTTAAAATTTGTTTTTTTTCCCCCACTTTCAAACTTCCCGCTGGCTCCGCCCCCCTGCAATGCAGCCGCTTGCAACGGACGGAACCGGAAGTCGGCAGCCGCCGGAGGACACAGCGGGGATCGCGGACAAGGTAAGTCCTATGCTGTATTCCCGAGTGTGGCTCAGGGTTACCGATTTGTTAACCCCGACCCACACTGGGGAATACCAAAGGAAACGCACGGAAAAACGCCCCAAAGAAGCTCCTGTACTTGTTTAGGCGTAGGGCGTTTTTCAGCGCGTTTCCACGGGCTGAAATACACCCAGGTGGGAATCATGCCCATAGGGAAGTATGGGATGTCACTGCTTGAGCGTTTCACAGCGCATCGATCAGCGCTGTAAAACGCCCAGGTGTGAACGCGGACTTAGGCCTTGTTCACACCAAATGCAGTGCAGATCTGCATGAGTTTCTGCACACGCAGTGCAGTGGGTTGTGCCGCGTTTTTGAGGATGAGTGTAAATCACTCAATTATGTCTGGATCCGCCCAGCTGCGTGAGTGACAGCATGCTCTGCCTATCTAGAGGCAGAGCCAGCTGTACCCGCCCCCTCCCCCCTCCGTTCCTCCAGTCAGTGCTGGAGGAGCGGAGCAGGGAGGGGGGAATCCAGCCCCTCCCCTGTCACGGCAGAGAGCCGTGACAGGATCGAGAAGTGAACGAATGCCGGTATGTGTTCGCTCACTTCCCGATCTACTGAGCCAACCTGTGACAGTCTCATTGGCTAGAACTATGAGGTGAGTGAAAAGCATGAGTGAAAAGCGGTGCATGTACATGGTGTTCTAGATTGCCTCAAAGCTTCCTGGGATGCATGATGTGAGTATTCCAGGGAGTTTGAGGCAGCTGGGGATATCACTTTCACTTAGGTGAGAAGGATTTAAGCACTTTTTGACAAACAATTTCTTGAAAGGGGGGGAGCAATATTGTTGGAAGAAGAATAAGGGAGTAAAGATCCACTTTAATGTGTCCATATTCGTATATCAGTTCTATGAGTTCTAGAGAATTGCCAGGCTATTCTGTAAGCCGGCAAATGGTGACGGGAAACATGGCAGCGGCCTAAAATGTAAACAGATCACGGCACCGTAATGCAGGCACAAGACAAGTTTCAAGACAAGCAAGCTAATAGCACGAGAGTGATCAATTTAATGAGTAACACAAAAACAACAAAACAGAAAAAAAACAACATCTTTATGTGGTTGTCAGAGGTACGACGCTGTATCATGATTTATATGACATGAATCACTACACCTTAGACAGGCTAATGTATGAGATGCTAAATTGACTGTCATGTTTAGACTGCATAAACACCATTAAGAGGGCCCGGCTTCCAAACACTTTCTGTTATGTTAGAGCATTATCAACGCTCATGAAGAAAGCCTGAAGCTTTGCGAATCCAAATTTATGCACTTTGGAAACAGAGTTACAACTGTTTAACCAAGAGCTTCAGTCTAAAAAAAAAGTTAAAGCTGAACTTCAGGCAAACAGCTAAATACACATGTATGGGGGCTGTTCTACCTGCCATAGGATTTGTCCATTCAGTCCTGAAATTTACACAGCTCTGCCACATAGCACAGCCCTGTCTGGAAGGACTGCAGACTTGTTTTTTTTCTGCTGCATTTCAGTAACACTTACAGGTCTCCTCCCTCCCCCAACCTGTGACTGGACTGGAATAAGAAGAGCATGACACTGATAAGCTCATCTCTCTGTAACTCTGCTCTCTTGCTCTATTTGCATGCTCCTTGTGGGAATTCAGCACAAATGCCTGTCTGTTTGTGCCATTTCTCCTTCCCCCAATCTGAGCTCTTGTGTACATGTGGCTGCAGGAGGCTGATACCAGATCAAATTTAGTAAGTTAAAACGCTTACATTTAATGCTGTATTCTTGAATACAGATCTGCATTGTTGTGTGTCTTTCATTATCAGCTTTTATGTAATATTCTTATAACCAATCAATATCATTAAAGAGCACTCATCTCTATTTAGTCATGGAAGACAACTGAATGTTCAGTCTAAAAGAGTACCTAGGGACCCATTTATACCTAAGCGTAGTGTTAATTTCCACGCTTCGGTGTGAATGGGCCCTAAGGCCAACACCTATTTTGTTTTAGTTTCAGGCAGAGTAGATTGGTGCTTGGGTAGGTTCTGTTTGTCATGGTGAACATTTCTAGATCCTGCCATTTGGCTGCACACAGGCCAAAAAGGCAAACCAAGGCCCGGCCTTGGGGCAGCAGGAAGTAGAGGGGCAGCAGGGGTCTGGAATTCCTATCTCCCAATGCCTGGGACATGCAGTCCTGGGTGCCGGGCGGGTAGTTGTTTGCTACATTTAGCCCT